CAAGAGAGCACAGTTGTTTACATCTCCATTCAAGTGATTAACGATTAAATGACAACAAAGCAAGGAGTTTGTGTGGCTCCCCGAGCTGACCGTGCCTGGCTGAGCACCTGCTGAAAGAACCAGTTGGTTTGAGGGGTTGGCAAGCCCAGCAAACACAGGCTCCTTCCCCGAGTAGAGCACCAGAAAGGGACACGGTCTGGATGGAAGGTGCCGGGGAGCAGGCCAGGCCATGCCTGCCCTTTGTCATCCTCTCTCTGGGCAGCACTTTGACATTTGCTCAGGATGGTTGGTGCTTTGGGTCCCCTCTCATGCCCTTCCTCCCAGTGAGGGGCACAGCCCAACTGTACCCTATTCCCAGCTCCAGAGAGGAGCTGCAAGGAGGTGACGCTGGGGAAAGCGGAACAGGGCAGAGGGGGGAGCATAGAAAAAAGACAAACTTTCTCCATGTAACACAATAAATTTAAATATAGTCTTTATGAAAGTATAATATGTATTTTCAACTTTTTTTTTTCAGGTTAATTCCAGTTACCTTCATATTATAAATTCTTTACACATTCAAACACATGAGCTATAGATTCTCATCTCAAGTTCAATCAATTCTCTTAACCTCAAGAAAGTTACATTGTGAAATTGGACTTTCATCTTTACTGATGGAGTCTCAGCCTTTCCTGCTTAAATAAATAAAATTGCCTCTAGCTGAGAACCTGCCTAACTGAGATAATGGAGATATTAAGGGATAGCAAAACTGTGAGATTTGCCAACTAATTTTGCAAAAAGAAAACAACATACACATTTCCCCCTTCTCTGGGAAACATTTCTAGTTTGTTTTCTAAACCATACATACATTATAACAGGGAAATACTATTCTATTCAGCTTTAGGTTAAATTATATTTAATGTTGTAATGAATTTCAACAGAGACATATTGAAAAGGAATATAAAGAATTCAGTTCTGAAAATACAGAATACAAAAATTCCAAAACACGAGAGAGCTTGTGAAAAATAGCAAAATATATACCATCTGAGTTGGGAGCTAAGATGTACAGCTAACTTTACAATATCTGAGGTCAGGGTCCTAAGAAAAAAGCAGTATCATCACACAGATGAACATGTGAAGAGGACATCTTGTCCACATCTGTGCCTGACAGTGGGACCAGTTATACCAGTGCCAGTTTTGATAAGTACTTGACCAACCAGTCCCAAAAGATTACCAGGGTGGAGACTGCGCAGCCTGTCCAGGCAGTTCAGATCAGTATTTAACTACTGCTGGTAGGAGAAGGTTTGTTCTGAACCCTTAATCCCTGCCTGTAACTCCATCCCTCACTTCTGTCCCATGCACAATGGGAAGAATTTATTCCTTCTTTCTTTGTTGCCACATTTTTAATATACTGTTCTTACGCCTCTCCCCAGCCTCCTTTCACCCAAATAAATAATGCTGATGCCTTCAGCAGGCCTGGGGAAGCTGTTTTCACATTGCTTCTCTTCACTCTGCAGTTTTTGAGCAAATTGTTGGTTATAAGTTTTTGCTGAGGTTTTACAGTTACCCTGTAGAGAATACTTGGAAAAATACAAAGGCATCCCAAACAAGAAGCCCATTTGTGCAACCCAACATGAAGTTTGTTTTTGCAAAAGCATTTAATAATTATTTTTGCATTCAGTTTGTGATTTATATTTCCAAACCTTTTTCCAGCCTACTGCTTCCCATCCCCTCATTGTCTGTCTCTATTTTCACACTTGAGATATTCCTGCACAGTTAATAGGCAAAACTTCTATTCCCCCATCACCTCCCTAGTGGCTTATATAGGCTAATTTTCCTTACGCATAACTACTAATTTGTAATTGAGCTACATAATTAAAGGCAGAACCATTTTCTCAGAAGGAAAAGTTGAAAACACCATTTAAAAGTATCTTGCATCAATTAATCATGTTCATTGTAGTCATGTTTACAGAACAGTGATTTTAAAAAAAGGCCCTGTCAAATACTTTAGACTGTAATAGTATGAAGTTTTCCAGGATAAACTGTAAATCTAGATTACTATGGCTGGAGTGAGCAGGGGAGGGTTGCACAAAGGAAGGAGAAGCGCAAAAAATGAGGAAGAATTAAAGGGGGAAATATTGAGGTTTTTTAATTATACACTAGAAATGAGATTATCACTTGCCTTATCTGGAAGACTTTTTGTACTTTGTTGCCCCACCACCCTCTTTTGTTCTTTCTTCCCTTGTACTTACTTTCAGGAATACCAAGGCACTGTTGTGGATTTGGCTTCATGGTCACTAAAAACTCCTACAGCACCACCTACCTAAAGTGCCAGTGTTCCTCAGTTCTGCAATATTTATTTTGAATGTGCCAAAGAACCGATCCAAATTTAGCCTCATACATCTGTTTCAGGGCTTCCTTCCCCCTTTCTTCACCACAAATGAGGATTTTAATGGCCATGGAAAGGTGCAGTGATCTATCCCAGTGCCTGAAGCCAGTCCCAGGGCAGGCAGGGAGACCCAGGGCTGCTAAAGGACAGCAGTTATTTAGGAGCATGTATAGCATCTGATTTCTCTGGTAAGAGTGGGAGCTGTGGTGCTGGGTTACTGGTATGCTCCAGAGAGACCAAGCTCAAACTACCAGCTCCGACTGACCCTCTCTCAGAGCAGACAAGGCACTGGGTCTTAACTACAGCTCACGTTACTTTTCTTGCATAGAAGACAGTCAAACACCAGGAAGGGTGGGGAGAGCATGAAGTGGAAATACGAAAGTAGGACCACATTTCTCATTTTCTGAGTATGCAGTGTGATCAAAGTTGAAAATGCCTACTCCTGTAAGCCTTTTAAAATACTTGAGTGCACAGGAAAAGCCTACAAGATAAGAATCAGAGACAAAGCATTTAACATCCCACACATTTTTACAAAGTTACAGCATTTTTTCCTTAGATAATCCATTTTACATTCCTAATTATTTCTGCACTGTGTAAAATATGCCTGCATATAAAGTTTACAGTGACTTCTTTTGCAGAGATTAGACAAATATATACAAAATATTTTTTTTATTAAAATGTCAAATGCAAAATTAGAGGTTGAAAAACACTTGAATTAAAAAACTGTTTTAAACTGTGCGCAAAATTATGTAAAAAAATACTTTTTTCCTATTTCAAAGAACAAAAGAGATCAGACTTTGTAGGTTCAGGCTGAACAATTTTTGTGTTAAGAGCAGCTTAATACTTTATCAAGCAGAAACCCTCAAGGATTTGCAAAATTTCAGCACCTGTGCTCTCAGGGAAGGGCTTAGTGGTCTGTGTGTGCATGTCTGAAAATTGTGCATGAACTTTAAAAGAGTAACAGATCCATCTGATCACTTCCAAAGTTGTGGTGGTTTTCTCTTAAGCACAACTAGCTTGAGAAGCAGTAAAGCTGGAAACATAATCAAAGTCTCCATCTAGGCTTGCTGTGTTTGTTCAAAACATTAGAAAGGGTAGAGGAATCTGCATGAAAGAGTTGTGCAGGTCACTGAACACCATGATAAAAGCAAATATTAATTTCTTGATTTCCTAAATTAAAAATCTTTACAGAAGAACCAAAAGCTTTAGTTTTCACCTCACGCACGCACAGTTTTAATGACATTTTCTACTAAAGTTAAGAGTGCTTCACTAAGAGTATACATGAAGTTATTCACTATTACATGACCTTTTATCTTTGGAGGTGAAGCTTTAAAATCAAGTCTAACATGGCAATGCCATTTCTATGTCTCAGAGCCTGTTTCAGCCACTTCTACTTTCCTGTCTCTGGGCCAAGACAGGCAACTAGCACTGCTAAGCTGTACACTGGCTGAAAACAAAGACAAACCCCATCAGTTTTTCCAGCTGGATCAGGAAGCTCCCTGATCTAGTCACTGGATGGCAACACAATAAATGGATGTGAAATGATGTAGCACAGTTTAGGCCAGAAGTCCACTAAGCAGCTAATTATGGCTCCCACTGTCAGTGCAGGGACAGGATTTAGCTTCATCAATCCAGCCAAAGGCCAGCTTGTGAGAACAACAAGCTGAGATGGTCACTTATACACATGCAAAAGTAGCACGCTTGGAGCAGATGACAGTGAGGTGATGCTGCAGGTAAAGGTTTTGACCAGAAGTAGATTACACCCTGGGCTAAGATGTCTGTGTCAAAAGCAGAAGAATTAGAAAAACCAGACAGTTTTGTTGCTATTTTTCAGACAGAAAGCTGAAAAAAGGAATAGAGGAAAGAAAGGGGCATAAAAAAATCTAATAACTTTATTAACTACATATTTTTTTCAAAGACTAGAGATTACAGAAGCAGTTTTTGCAAATACATTTCTCTATCTTCCTCTGAGACTATGACACAATAAGTCTCATGGTCCATCAATACACTGCCTTGCAGTTCAACTTGCATTTTTCTGCACAAATGCTTTCTGGGTGGCTTCACCCTTTGACTGTTCCTATACAGAAGATCAAGTAAATCAAACTTGAAAGGCTGAAGTGGCCTGATCAGAAAGCTCACAAAAGCAAGAGAGTAGCTGCTATTATACAAACTACTTCATTGCTGCAATTTTACATCAGTGTGAAGCTTAGACACTGGATTCTGTAGTTACCTAAGAAAGTGGCTTATTCTGTCTAACCAACACCTCATTTTAGTGCATTGCTAGGAGAGTAACATCATCTCCACACTGCTCCACAGAGAAAACTGGCTCTGAGAAGCTTCCTGCAGGCTCTCAGTACTCCTACTAAAGCTTAAAGTAGCATGCATTTGAAGCCCTGGGAAATATACAAAGCAGAAGCCCTTAAGATGACTGGAGTAGTTAAAATCCTTTAAATTATGGCTTTCATAGGGTTTTACATATTGCAGTGTGACATTCTGGACACAGCAAAGTGTAGCCACCTTCTCAGGGCAGCAAATGACAAATTATGTTGAGTATGGTGGTTATCTGAATAAAACACTATGATACCCACAAACCCTATCTCCTAGGGCTTGTTATCCTTACCTTCACTAAGGAAGTCTAACTGCTGCGGCCTTTAAATGCAAATCCATTCTTTGGACACTGTCCTGGCCACATCATTAGTGTGTACAAGTCCATCCTCTGCTGCATACTACAAACACAAGTTGAGATAGAAGCAATCAGAAGCCAAACTAGTGCAGAAGAGAGCCAGCAGCTGGCTGTGCAACCTTAACCTTTCCTAAAGTGCTGGGCAGATACCAAAGCTCAGGCTGCAGAATTAGACATTCATAATGCTCTCACCACCATGGCATTGAGAGCAATTCAACAACAGAAACAACACTGGAGTAATCAGCTTTCCCTAACAACAACACGTTTGTACACATAGGATCTTGTTGAAGACCACTGTCCCCAGACTCTGGCAGCCCCAACTGACTGACCTCAAGAGTGTCTCCAGGGACAAACACCTCCTGCACAGCCACACATGCCCAAAGTCTCTGAAGGAAAAGTTAACACGCTCACTACTAAATAGATTTGCATAGACCACTCACCCCTAAAGTTGTGCTGAAGGCTGTCCTTCAGCTTCTGGCTTCTCCTATTTACTCAATAATTTTGTGAAAGTAAAAAAAACTTAAGAACTCACTCCTCCAAGAGCTCATACTTGCTCAAAGCTACCTCAATAATTTTCCTTTATCTCCTGAGCATGGCATCAAGCACCTAACCTTGTCCATTGATATTTCAATGCTGTTCCTTAGACCTAGAATAACCTCTCCAAACCACACCAGAGAGATAGCTCTCAGATGACCTCCACTTCTGTGCTCCCAGCCCAAGACTATGAAAATATCATGAAAAAATTTCGACTGGGCTCTATCAGTCTTCCCTTTGTGTCCTTACATTGGTGTTTCAATCCTTAGCTAAGCTGGTATTCATGAAGACTAAGTTTAGCCCAAAGGCTACTGGCCTAAGATGCTTTGTGGAGTCCTCCTCTCTCCACATGAGTCCTACAGTGAGTCCTGGCTTATATTGCACCTCCCTAAATTGAAGCTCATCTTCTTGAGTGCCTCTGTAGCTTCCAAGTCCAGTAGGCACATTTGCCCCCAAGCATATGTCCTCACTAGTTTTCAGTCTTGACCTCACCGAGTTCTCATTATTTGCAAAGCCCTGAGTCATCTTTATGCAGCAGAGTATGGAAGGGAAGAGTTTCATCACAGCAGGTAACAATTAAATCCAGCAGCCAAGCTATTCCTTGACATAATATATAGATGTTTATAGCCTCCCTGCAGAGAAACCTCTTCAAGGTGTTTCAGGAAGTGAATGAAACTGACTGAGGTTTAACACTGCTGCTTCTACAGGGAACAGCTGTCCATGCCTAGAAAGAAAGCTGCCTTTCCTTTTTCCACAGGAACTGCTTATGATACTTGTTTATCCCCACAACTGTGTTCCTGGGTACCTTTGTGACAACATCTTCACTGGTGGTTCCACTAGATAGCAGAGATAGCCTGGTGCCAAGGACAACACTTGCAATCATTTTTGTCAATTTTGAGCCTATTGTTGGAAGGTAAGACTTGATGCTGTAGAGAACCATCTTGATACAAACTTATCACAACACCTTTCACTAATCATTTCCTGCATGCCTTTTCTGTTACATTAGTAGTCATACAAATCCCTAAAAAACTACCACAGTCAATACAACTTGTACTACTCAGATTCTCAAACATAATACCCAGGGGTCAGCTTACGACACTAATGAAGCCAAAAATAAGTCTTCCCCACCAGTGCAGCATTCAGCTTTAGAAATTACAGCCATCACATGCTGTCTCCAACCTTTTTTTTTTTAATGTAGCTGTAGAGTAAGGACATGAATACATGGCAGATACGCCCATCCACAGTTTGGATGCAAGCTCTAGGTCAGTATCTGCCAAATTCATCTGGGGATGGAGCTCCTCACAGCTGCCAGCAAGGCAGCATTTGCTTCCATTTACTTATGGTTCATAGACTGTTTAGACACAGCATCTTTTGTGGTCAATGGCAACTGCCAGATTTTAAAGGTTAGGGCCACAAAGGGACAGGCTTGTCTTGTTTGAAAGCAATATTAATGCCACAATAATACAATTTATTCTGGAGTAATAAAGAAAAATCTTTTATTATGCCCAAAATATTCAATCTGTAGGTGTTGGAAACTTTGATATTCTTTTTCCAGTCTTTCATACCCTTTTGCAAAGGCTAAGGGTGCTACCTGCTCTGACTCCTTAAGAGAAGATAACATATGAACTGTCCCCAACCAATTCTATGTTCACCAGCCTGAGGGATGACAACCTCCCAGAGGAACAGCAGCAAGTGACTTAGAGTGGTCATGTCTCCAGATGGAAAAGAAGTCAATAGAAGACACATGAAAACAGTGAAAAGTGTCTAGGCAGGCATACAAGACAAGTATTCCAGCCTATATTCTCTAATCAAACAAGCCTCAGGAACAAATACTTGCATGTTTTACATCAGGCCAGATAGAATTTCTACAGTTGTTCTTAGTAGGTGTATATCACTATATAATGATGCAGTGCAAGAGCTTGAATTCTTTTTATATCCATTTAGTTCTTGAAATCAAATATGATATGAAGCACTTCCCAATGCAAACCTTTTTTCCTTATGAACTGATCGCTCTTCTTGAATCTCATCAACAGGCGGATTGGATTTTTTCCAATCAGTATTTCTGAGATTGCTGTATTCTCCAAAGAATCTCAAAATAAAGCAATTAAGTTTCAGAAATCAGTTTTGGATGCAAGAAGTTCTCACATGTTCTAAAGGTTGATATTGGCATTCAAGCAGCATTTTTACACCTCAAGGGATCCCAAATATTCATCACTAAAATATTATGTGGAAACATTGAGGTTCGCTGTCTCTCCTGATTTGCTAGCAAGTTTTTCCATTATACATTTGGTTAACAGATCCAATATCCAGAAGGAAGCTGTTTATATTACAAGTGGGTGTGAGTTGCAAGCAGTCAGCATACATAACCAAGCAGCTTTTCAGATCTCTGCCAAGTATCTTGCAGGTCCATCAAGAGAACCACAAACATACCCAGCACTATTTGCACATAGGAACAAATATGTGCATAGACACCATCTAGAGGTTTCAGCTCTCTCCCTGCAGATTTTCTATCCCTATTTTTCCTTTTTTTTGTGGAGTCCTCTGTAGTCCTGAAAGTTTTTTGTTTGTGAAGTATATTAACTATTGTCTGCTTTGTGACAAATACTGACAATATCCTTTCATCAAGCTTCTATTAATTTCAGGACTGTAAGGCAGGTCCTGATTGCAAATTCGTCTTACTTTATACCCCTTACTCTAATACTCAGAGAAGCACTAGCAGTGAAAAAGAACTTGTCAGAGTCATCCAGTAGTGTTTCAAGATTAAGTTATTTCCCCTCTTTTCAAGGCCTAGGAAGCTCAGCAGACCCAGAGTACCTCTGCAGCACCTCAAAGTGAGATCCTCTGATGGAAGCCAGCAGGAGGAGCAGAAAACGTAAAGGACACACATTACCAAGTAGCCTTCAGAAAAACTCAAAATTTGACAGATGATCCCAGACTTCAGTGAAGAGCAGATCATTTCAGAAACTGGTAGGAATTTTCAAATACTCCTTGGGCTGGTATGGGGCATTATTATAATGTGCACATATACACAAGCTTACAGCATTATGTCTATAGTGTTCACTACTGGAAAGCAGCCCATGAGGAAATGCAGCTTCAGTATAAAGCTTTTTTGGAAGTGGTTCATACAAAAGTAAATAGTAAATTTTGTGGTATAATCACCGAAGTTGAAAGTTTTAACATGCTACTTTGTTCACAAAAACTAACAAGACGTGTTACTAGCAAAAGTATTTACACAGCCTGTTCCAAGATTGGAATGTTTATCCACATTTAAAGAAAGGCTGTATAACTTGACAAATAGTGGAAGTAGGAACACTAAACTAGGTCACCTGTTAATCAAACAGAAACATTTAGATCCCTGTGACTATATAATCATGGAGGAATATTACGGATGGTATACTCAACAAGGCAGACTTTTTAAAATTAAAAATCAAAAAACTTTCAGGTCCAAGGAGTCTTATTCCAAGATCAACCCAGCTCTATCCTTGGAAATATCCTCCTTCAAAAAACCCTCCTTCCACCTATATCCCTGGAAACAAAGCTCCTTCAATACAGATACCTTCCCCACAGATAACCTGCTGCCCCCTCTGCCTACTGAAATCAATTTCCCAGCTGGATAAGGCCATGGTAGCATGACAGCAATAAGCAGGGGGAATGGATCCAGAAGCTCTGCCACAGAAGACTGCAATAGTCTGCCCTGGGTAGTGCTGGGACTTCCAACACACCCCTGTTAAGGCTGCCTCTGAGTAAAGTGAAGCACCCAGCAATGTACCTTGGTGCCATGAATAACCTGAGATCATTGCAAGTGTTTTAAAAAGCCACCTGCATGGATGACATACATGCCTTCAGGCACAACAGGCAGATCTTCTCTCCCACCACTGAACTGTGTTGTAAATAGACAAAAGGAAAAACTATACTCATACTGATCTCTGCAGCAAGCTTGCACAATGCTGCTGTAACAATTAATCCCTCATACAAATCCAGTTGTTTTACTAGTTAACACAGGAACAGTCAGAAGATGACCATAAGAGCTGGTACCTGAAAATCAAGTCATTGAGTATATTAAGGAAACAAAAGGAAGAAGTCCCCACCAGTCTCCATGGCAGCATTTTGTGTGGTGGGCTGAGTAAAACCTTGGACACTGCTACCAGCCGGAACATTTTAATAGATGTACCAGCCTTGAAGAAAGGTGGGGTTTGTTTGGTTTGGTTTAATTTAAATAATTTTGCTGTCCTGATATCCAGATAGCTGTTGATCAGAGCATTACTGTTCTGCTGCTTTCACCCACCATGGCAGTTTTACTAATTAAAACCTACAAATGAAGGGATAATGACAGCCTATGGAGGCATGCAACAATTAGTCTTCCCTGCTAAGGCACTCCTCCTCCAATGAAATATGGTAGTAGTTAGGCATCCCTGCTGTTCTAATCCTTGGCAAGCTACATTTATTTTGAAAGAGTAATTAAGTGTCCCCCCAAACAATCATTCTGGTGACAAATTTGTGACATGAACTAAAGAGTTAAGGTTATTTTGACAAATTCATGATGGAGAGCAGCTCAATAGAACAAGGACAGGTAATGAAGAGTCCCAAATTCAGACATGTAATTTAAAACACTTGAACTACATTTATAGGACAGCAACTAAAAGCCACCAATAAGCTTTTATATCCAGTGAGTCCATCACTGCAGATGTGATTTCATGCAATCAAAGGTGACATACTTAGAATAAAAATAATAATAAAAACAAAATCAAAAGAGTTTAAGAGATGTGGTCCAGAGTGTTGATGTGATGCTGTGAGTACAACTAAAAGAGGTTTTGTTTCTGGCTGCTGCTGTTCTCCATCTGTGACAGAACTCCCAGGCTAAATACACATATGGTTGTTCCCTAACCCAGTTCTGTCAAGTGATGCTGGTTAGCCAGACACAGATATGTAAACAAAGCTGCTGGCAGCAGCTCTGAATGGTATCGCCCACTTGTTCCTAGGTTTGCCAGTTTTGAATTCCCTGTAACTTAATTGTGCTTCAACAGGAATCTGAGCAATAACCAAGGTTAGAAAAAACTCACTTGTTTCCCATGATGATCATTACAGAGAATCTGATTCATCACAGAGAACAAGTGAGACTTTTTTCTAACCTTGATTATTGCTCAGATTTCTCATTTTACTTTTACACATACATCTGCATGTATGCATACATAAATATTAGTGCTATATGTATGTTGCATATGTATATACTCCTACAAGGTTATAATGTATGTACTCCTACAAGGTATAATGAGAAAACCCATACCTTATCCAGAGCAGGAAGGGGCATAAGCAGACATGAGAACACTAAGACATTACCCTGTATTTCCCTGTGCAGCAAGTGTCAGAATCATACCTTTATCACATAAAAAGGCCTTTTAACTCAAACCACTGCAATGGAGAGAACTGTACACACTGGCCCAACAGGGAGATAATGCCAGCTTAGCCACTATTAGACAAACACACTGGAACAGACCCACACTCTTGAGCAGTACCTGTATCTCTCAAGACAAGTCCCACAAAGGTGTGAACAAACAAATTTACCTACCCACCTTGGCTCAACAGCACAAGAATTTACCATAGGGGACAGAACACAAGAATGCTTTTCCACTTATTTTGAGTTCAAGGACTTCCTGAGCCAGGTGTGGTTTCTGTGTATTCACTAACTCACAATGAGTTTCCTGCCATGGAATTTAACCAGTTTGTTTGAACCTACACCAAGTTTCAGTTTCCATATCATGTTTTGGCTATGAATCCTACAATTAAGAATCTCCTCTTTCCACTATGCTATTTAAAATTCTTTTTTACTTTTTAAGAAACATAAATGTATTACTACATGTATGGATTTTGACAGATACTTTTGAGGCTTTGAAGGCACTGCTTAAAAGTGATAAAAATGGCATCAGAACTTAATAAATACAATAAGATTCAATTTTGTTTTAAAACTGTTTACCCTGTAGCAATAGCTTTCAAGTTTGTATACAGTAATAGTTTCTATAGGATGTGTTAGCAGTTGCCAAGTAATGCAGTTATTTCCAATGTACCTACAGCACCTAGTACACCTAGGATTAGATAAAGAAAACCTCCTCCTTCCCATGAATCCTATTGTTCTTTCTTTCTTAAAAGCTTGGGACTAGGCAGAGAGCAAGACCACTGATTTGCTGTCAGAACATGTTGCCAGATATAATTACAAACTGAACAGTGATATCAAAGACTCACAGATCCTGAATAACTTGCTCTCCCTCCTTTTCATTAGGAGTTCACTAAAGCTATTTTAATAGCTTAGAAGGCATCCATTTCTTTACACCACTGGTGGTTTCATCACTAAAGCTGTAAGAGCATTAAGACAAGTCTGAGAGTTTCAGGATATCTGATAGGTACTGAAAACCAAACAAATATCTTCTACCTTTCTACCATTTAAGTTGATTTCTGTGCAGAAAATGGAGTTGGACCATTATAAAGCAATTTGACCTTGTAAAACACAGGTTGTAGAAGCTTTTGGCAGAAGAAGTTTCCTTATTTCTATAAATATTCACCAGTTAGATTTATGAACCTTGTCTGATCATTACCTACCAGCTCTATATTACTTTTCCTGGATGTGCTTTTAAATGGAACACTTAGTACAGAGGATACCCCATTCTTTCCTGCTGCACATACTTAATTTTTGACTTAAACTTCAGAACCAGAAAGCTACATTTAGGAGAGTTCTGATTGCTACTTCAAATGGACTCAATTATTTTGTGCACCCTGAACCAAGCACAGGAATATGCCTGAAAAGCAGTAAGTATTAAAGAAGAATAAAAAACAAAAAAGAGAAACAAACAAACAAAAACAAACCCAAACCAAAACCAACCCGAAAAAAACAAGTCAAAAACATCCTCTACAAAGAATCTATATCTATTGGAGTATATACAAATTGTCTGTAGATCAAACATTCTGGATAGAAAAGCAATACCTAAACACTGAGTCTCACAAGAAAGAAGCCAACTTGAGTCCAGAAAATTTTCCTTATTTTCTTTAAAAGGGCAGTATTTGTAATTGGCAGAGAAGTTATGTAATAATGATTTCCTAAAAACAGTGCACAATTGCCAGTTAGACAAGACTATAAAAAGGATATTTTGGGGCTTGGGACTGATCGGTCTGTGACCAACATCCATGCCCAGCCTAAGCAGCCAGTGATGAGACTCATGTGGGAACTCCCTCAGTGAGAAATCACTAGGGCCTGACATTTAGCCTGCAGTGACTAGTCTATTCTTATCTTAATAAGTGTGTCAGTAACCACAGACTATTACTGCTACTATGTTTTCATGAAATATAGAACTGTTATTGAGAACCTTGTTTTATATTGCCAGTGCAAGTTTGGAATTTTATTTTTTCTTAATCTTACATTAACAAGGCTGAGTTTGGTAATATCATAACCATAAGACAGATATTGAAGGCATTATAGAAAGTAACTCATTAGTGAAAGAAACATTTTAATAAAAAACCACATCAGTCATTTCACAGACATATAGGTACAGTAATAAGAAAACTTTTGTTATCTTACAGGTATTGAAGTGCTCATATTGCTTAACAGCTTCCTAAGTAGCTATTTGGTCCCTGCTGCAGAGATAAAAAAAACTTGAGTTGTTGAGCAGATTTCCTAACAGAGAAATGGTTTATGGCTTAAAGGGGACGTGGCTCCTTCCAAGGCCTCATGACTGCAGAGGGCAACAGGTATCCAGAGATTTTGTTCTGTAGCAGGTAGCTAATACATTCAAAAGAATCAAAAGCCCTTTGTGAGAGGTGTTGATGTTGCAAGGACAGGAAGAACACATGCCTCTATATGCTTTACATGTGCATTCAGTACAATATGTAGTCATAGAAGTAAACAGTTTCCATCATAAAGGTCAAAAGTTATTTTGTTACAAACACAAAGAGGCAGTATTTCAGAAGTTGCTAAGGCAGACCCCAGTCCACCCACTCTAAAGAGGGGCCAAGGGCTTCTTTATGGACATGGGAAAGCGTACTGCACATGTCAATTCCCACTGAGGGCATAACAAAATAAACTAGTGACTAGTAAGTTTGAGAGCAATGTTAGGTGAAACAAAAATAATAAAAAATACCCCACTCAAATGTGTGTCCTAGGTTAAAACAAACAAACACACTAACCAGCCCCCCTGCCTCCCAAACATTGCTACCTGCAATAACCTAAAACTTGGAGACAATCCCTAGTTATCCTGAAATTGTTTCCCTGAACAAGATACCAACAAGCTGTTTGTGGTACCACAAGTCCTTAGTAGAGCAGATAATGTTCTTTTGTGAGTTTTGTGCATTTGCTGGGAATAATTAAAAAAAAAAAAAAATAGACTTCTTTGTTGCTGCTTGGGTTCTCCTCTGCTTTACCTGGGGTAGTAAGCTGTGTAGTTCATGAAGAGCTGAGCCCCAGCAGGGTAGTAGGCTGTGGAAGGCTGGAGTGTTCGTGGGTTCAGAAGCATGGATGGCTGATACAGAGCAGCTTCTGTTGGCACAACGGCAGCAGGAGCTGGAAAGGAGTAGGCAGGGGGTGAAAGGCCTGCAGGGAGCAAATGGAAAATAGATTAGGACCTCTGAAATTCCAGAGCTAATACATACACACACAACTCCACAGTACATCGGGAACCTTCTCATCCTTGTTCACCACAGAAAAGAAAAGAAATGTGAGCCATCAATGCAAGTGTGACTACAAAGTGTTACACTTAGCATCCAGCCTACGGAAAAGTCAAAAATACACCAAAAAATCACCTCTTGCTCCGGGAATAGGGTACCTTTCTGATACATAGGTCAGTTTTGCTTTCCTAGGCTCATATTTTAATGAAGTCTGCATTCAAGAGCTACAAGACTTCTGCACAGTAAGAAGTAAGTTCCTGTGACAAAGATCTGTTTAACATTCAACAAAACAGAGAAGACTTTCATCCTGGTACTGCTTATCCCTTAATTAATCAACAGCGGAGTGAGAAAAGGCATGGCTTTGCAGCTTGAAGTGTTAGCACTAAATGAAAAAAAAAAACAAACACAACCAAAAACCAAAAGTGTACTTTGTGCTTTTTCAGCAAGATGTCAGGCCCTAATGAATTCTCACTGATGAGAGTTCACCCTCCTCCTTTGCTTAATGCTTCTCCTCCCTATTTCCATGTAAGTGAACATAAAGCTTTAGATAAAGTAAGCCTTTAATTTTACTATTCAGAGTTACAGCCAGCATCTCACTGTATTGTAAAATGTGGAATGACAGGGCCAAAAGGCCTTATCTGAGGAATACATCACAGGCATTTGTAATTGGAAATGGGAACATTGACCAGTGTGTTTCCAAAAGTTTGTAACTCTGCCCAAGAACCTGTCAGAGAAGCTGTCAGGTTGCAACCCATCTGGAACAGCCTTCACATACAGGACTATCTACTGCTGACCCATACTCAAGATACTTTTGTTGAAAGAAAAAAAACTCTCCCAAGGATTAGCTGAAGGTTTACTTGCACTCAAAAAAAACACCCCAAAGGAAGTTGGCTGCTGTATTGGCAGCTCTGACTAGCATGTAGAGGACTTTTCAGAAAAGATCTAGAACCAAAAAAATACACCTGCATAGAGAGACACAGAGAAAGCTACGACTTGACTACCTTCCCATTTATGATTTTGGAAACAAAGTATTATTTTTCCCATAGGCTCAGATTTATGTGGCACAGATGCCTTAGCAAGTTAGCTCTTAAGCTCCTGAAGTATTTCCCCCAAAAGTTTGCATAGAAGTCAGTGTTCACCCTAGTAGGTCTGAGAATCAAAATTTAAAAGGAAATACAAATTCTGCAGTTCTCTGAGGCAGAAGCCATGTGTATTTCACTCCCACAAAGCCAACCTCCATTTCATATGGACAGCAAAAAGCAAAGGAAGAGTTCAGTCAGTTGCAGTTCAAAAGGCAAAACACATGATTAAGTCTCAAAGGGGAGCATTACCTATGCTTTCTCAAATTAAGTTTTGGAACTGAAAAGGGAAGGTCTCTTACTTGACATGCTCACCATGACAAAAAAATATAAGTACAGATCAGTTAAAATACAAAAAGGTTCTTTAAGGTCTAGGTAGGGCTTAGAAATTACTTTTCAGAATCATCACTCACCCCAACCAATTAAAGTTTCAAGGAGGGGAGGGAAAATTTGCCACTGGAAAAGCAAAAGTAGTTCTTCAGTCATAGTAATTTACAACTAAAGGGAAAAATAATGATTGCAAGCTGGTGATGATTGAAGACAAAAGACCTTATTTTAACATCCCCATCTCATAATGCTACCCAAGAACCAGGACAAGAGTCAGCAAAGCAGCTCCAATACCTACCCACACACAGTGTAGAGCAAAGTGCAAGACCCAAGCAAAACTTACATGGTAACTTACATGGTGGCGGGGACAAGCCATTTCGATTTAAAGTGCCCCCCATTAATACAAAGTTCATCTCTTCAGCAGAACATTGAAAGACTTCAACATATCTGTCCTTCATAGTCTTCTTATGACACTTCTGTGCAGCCAGGAAGGCTCGATCTGCAGATTTCATCTGAATGAAAGCATCTCCTGATGGACGCCCCTACAAACAAGGCAGACAAAAAAGAAATGTAAGTTCCATGAGGGAGCAGAACAGCAATAATTTATGCTGTTATAAGTCTCTTCAGTCAAATATATTCATCTCCAAAGTCAAGTACAGCCAGTCATCCTGAGCACTCATCAGCATGTTTAAGCTCTCCTCTCTAAAGTTTTTCCCACTTGTGATAACTTGATTGTATTTATTCACCTGTTTTGATTAAGCTACATTGTAACTTGTTACATCTATATCTAAAAAAAAAAAAAGACACCTATGGGAGAGACTGTAATTCAGTAGTACTTTGGTGCTTTGAGACCTGCTCTTGCAAATTTACTATGAATGCAGAATTGTAAGATCTAGTTCCCATTTATTACCTGTGATTTTTAATATTCATTATAATAAGTGCTCATTGCTAAACAATTTGTTTTAAATTTTATTTTCTGAAGACCAACATGGGCTGGGATGCTTTAGTAGAGTACTAACTAGCCTAACATTTGGTATGAGCTTGCAGAGAGGAAAAAAACCATCTTTATATGTGTAAATGAGTGGGATACACCACTGGGAGGAGTTATTTTAGCCACATGCAGCTGCTGATTTGAAGTAGCCAAAACTAGAGAGAAATCTGAAGCTGGCTCTAACACAAGCCATCTCATTTTGGAGCGGACAACAACATTGTCAGCATCCTTTACACAGTCGTTTATGATTAGAGGATTGAAACCTGGGAACTTTGAGGAAGATAAAAACCTAGTAGTCAGGCAAAAGCAGTATTTGGGGAGAAAAAAAAAGTCTGACAGCTTTGGGCAGAGCAAGAGTAGCAGACAGCCCTTAGGGTTATATGCATACACCTATTTCCTTATCCAGGTTCTTTAATTAGTGCTGTCAAGGGCTGATACTACTGTAAAGCATTACTTGTGCTTCAGTATTTGCACTTTTCTTAGTCTCTCCCAGCACTACACATTCATTACAGTTTTTTTAGCCTTGTCTAGGTCAAGTTTCCACAGACACAGGAATGTCTTTAGATAGACAAGTACTGAAATAACTACAGTCCCTTCTCTATCCCCATATTCCTGAAACACAGAAGTCCTACTTGGGACCAGGAAGTATTTTTTAGTTTTGGTTGACATTCAGCCTAAGCTAAAACAATTTTAGAACCATAATTTTTATACAGTTTTTTAATCAGCTTGTTCCATTGAACCACTCAGAGCATCTCCATGGAGTTAAAGGATTCCTCCCCCTGAAGTCACAAGAATAGAAAGATAAAGATCACAAGAATGCACAATCCTTTGTCTAAAAGGTTTTCATAGAAATTGTTTCCATAAAACAATGGCAAAGATGTGACACTTTATACACATCAATGAGCTGTTAATCTTGGTGCTTAACTGTGACTGTTTAAAGAAAGCAAGAACACAGGAAACCTTCTGACTTTTGACATGGGAATTCCTGTCTCTAGAAGGCTGCAGTCACATTTGTCCTCAAATATACTTGTGGCACATTGTTCAGCAAGGCAGGGACAAACCACTCCTTTGAGAGCTAACATTGCCCACTCTTGTGTTTTGATGGCACTTCTCACCAGGTACGAGAGGAATCATGCACGCTGTTGAGCAAGACTCTTCACTTCAAGCCTCCCACAGCTCAGGATCATGGCTGCTATTCTGGGAGCACCAACCCCTCCAAGACTGGCTTAGCTTTCAGCACATGGGTCTCAGTGAAAGAAACTACTCTACAGCAAATGCAGCAGTCTGCACAGCAGGGTTCAAGTCATCTATTGCCAGCACACTTTAAGAGGAGAGCAGGAGGCACATTAATACAATTACTGCTTGTCCCAAAGGTGCTTCCCTATGAATATCATCATCAGGACTGTATTCACACATACAAGCATTTGGCAGAGTGGCTAGAAACACGTTGCCTACCAACCTGGTGATTTAGAACCATGTGAACTCCATGGGTCCGAATATCTGTAGAAAACTCTCCCAGGAACTCCAGAATGTCCTCTATAGTAGCAGCATAGGGAAGACCACGCAAACGTATGCAGTCTCTGATGTTAGTGGGAGGCACAAATTGTTGAGGTAATACTGGAAGAATTGGAGGTGTTGGGAGAGGAATGAGAGGTGTGGAAGAGTACCTGTTCAGCACCTGTGCAAAACAAAAACAGATTACAGAAGCCTCCTTACTCATTCTTCAACCTAGAAGGAGTAAACACAACCCCAATGCCACCTGTTTTCACTCTGGGCAGTATTTTAAGATACAATGAGCTAGATAGAAATATTAACTGCAAAATATCTGATTTCTAAGCACTGTGTTGTGGTTTAAGCTCAGAATCTATCAGACTTCTATAGTCATTCTATGATAAATAGTCATGCTATTGTTTAAAAAAAATTTGGGTTTTTTTTTCTTTAAAAACAGTTTTGTTTTGGGAAATTTACTTGAACAGATAATGCAAGTCTCAATAGAGATCTTAGAACATGAAACCTGTATATCTACAGTATTTTTATTGTGCAACTATCCTAAAACATTCTACCATCTACAGAGTCACGATGACACTTCTACCCAAAAATATCTCCTCTGCAAACCTTTAGGAGAGTTTGGGAACTAGAAGCACATTTCACTACCACACATCTCTAACTGTACCTGCCATAGTCCATTCAAGAAACATTAGGAGCATTACCAAGTCACAGTACCCATGACACTTACACTTTGAGATTTCTTGTTAATAATTTTAACAGCAAAAACCCTGTCTGGTGAAAAGTTGCCTGAATATTCAATCCTGAATATTAACTACTGAATACTAACTACTCCTGAACTCTCTCTGAGCAAGATGAATATTTATTTGCATTTATACAGCTATCAGAAGGTTTTACTAAACAAAACCATATGAAAGTACTTGAGAAAAATGCAATGACAAGTGAGCACTGTGGCTCTGCCTTCTAATCACTAATGTCATCTTTTAAACAAAGCACTGAAATCTCTACATATTAGGGAGAACAGAGCTACATAATTTCTTGGATGCAATGACATGGCTACAATTTGCATCACAGATAACTTCTAGGCATGACTCTAAAAGGTATCTACCTCTGCTGAAGCTCCGCAAATATTTTTGGAGCCTTTAACAGTCCACTCAGCTCTCCTCCCTTTCCCTGACAGCTTAGCTGCAATTAATGGTCCACCAAGCCCTGTTAATGCAGACTCATTATTTTGAAACTCCTATCACCCTCTGCCAGGTAGACTGTGCATCTGCAGAAGATGGCAGAGATCTGCCCTTAAAGACAATTTGTAGAATTCTTCAGATACATTACACTGGAGAGGACCACTATATCAAAAGGCTTTGCTTTTTTGTGTCACTGACTAAAGATAAACCTTTTAGCTCAAGATTTGTTGCTAAACACTCCTGAATAGATAATCACTGGACATAGTCAAATTCAGAATATATAGTGTAAAGCACAAGACCCACATCCACATTTTACAAAGCTATTGGAAGCCAAAATCCCAAAGGTTTGTATATGATTCAGAACGTCCCTATACCATAAGATCTTACATTTCAAGGGAGCAAAGTCTCCACAGAAATTCAGACAATACTCATTTCAGTACGAGTCAAGAGTGAGAAAAGGTAAAAGAAGTTTTCAAGTCAAGGCCCAGGATGATTTGCTTCCTCTACTGCCAGCACAGAAGTTTGGACTACAAAAAGCCAACGTTTGAAAGGCTTGCACCTACCTGCTGAACTTCTGCTGCAGTGCTCCGGAAGAGTTCAATGTACCTTTTCCCCAGCAAATCCTTGTGCTTTTTCAGTGCATTTTGTGCATATTCCTCACAAGCAAACAAGACAAAGGCATCTCCTGTTGGCCTGCTGTCAGGGTAAGTGACAAACAGGACTCCCTCCTTTCCTCCTGTTACAGGGCAGTGCTGGCCAAAGAAAGTCAGCACTTCTTCTGTTGTTACATTGAAAGGAAGACCTCGCATCCTGACAATCACTTGGTTTTCTTTTGACAAGAACTGTGCAACCTCATTGGAAGTACCTTTAACAAGAAAAAGTACAGAAGCACTTCAGTCTAGTATATAAAAATCATGCTACCCCATCATTTAGAGGAGATTGACAGATTTTGCTTTCCTTGAGCTTTGAATGTTGCAAATACTTCCTATTTTTCCTTTTAATAAACATCAATCTCTTGTGTGAGCGGGACCTGTGCTATTGTTCCACTTGTCTAACTGTGGAATACCTCTGGAATGCTCTGGAGCCATAATATATGGCAACCAAGTCCCCAGATCATTGTCCTGGGAAAAAAAGCTGGAAGAGCAGGTTGAAAACAGCTCAGGGATTTCATCCTATATCAACAGAACTGTCAAAGTCTGACAATTCTACTTTCAGTACCTTCAAAAGACCAGTGATGCTAATAACACAACCTTATTCAAAGGTAGCTGCTAACCAAATTCATATCTTAATACAGTCCTTTCACTTACAGCTCTCTTATTCTGCAGAGTTTGGTTGTACCAGACACACCATTCTTCATGAATGTCACTGTGCAATGTCTTTCCTTGTCTTTCCTTCCAAACCTATCAGTTAGCTATGGAGTTGACAGCTTAACAGCATCTCCCACTCTGAAGCCTTAAGCTCAGATCTCCAGTTAGTGACTTACAAACCTCAGCCCAAATCTCAGTCAGGAAGCAAAGAGGAACTTAAAGTAATATTGCAGATAAAACAGCTCATTGGCTCTTAATTCAAATTTTGTAGATTGCTTGCAGACAAAGGGGAAGAAAAAGAGATTAAGAGAGCTTGAAGAGCAAATTTTGCAGCCTCTCAATTATCAGCAAATATTTCAAGATTCCCCTTAAATAAGTATCTCCCCTAAATCCTCCCCATTAAATCTGAGGCAAAGATTTGATTTGAAGAAAATCAGTTCCATAAATCCCTTGTATTTACATTGTGATATCTGTTTGTTCTTACATGCATGCTCCACAGCAACAGCAGTTACATTGTTTTGAAAAACTACTCTGGTTTAATTTTTTTCAGCAATCAATAGCATTTAGATTCCCACTATCATGAAGACGACCTAACAAATTAAGTTCATATACAAGATCACTTTGCCCAATCAAATCCTGATCGACAGGCTGCTTGAAAATGGCAAGAATGTGGAAGAGAGGCAGACAGATCATGGATCATCTTGGACTGCTGCTAGCAGAATACATAATAATCAATACACCAGCCAACTTCTTGTTCAAAGACAGGAAAAGGGGCCACATTCAACAGGAGCACTTTGCAGCCAAAAGTTAGAGATGCTGATGGAACAAAGCATCCCTTTTCATCCCCTCAAAATTACCTCCTGCAATTTTAAGGAAGTCTTCACCTGTTGCCTTGTATACCTAAAGGAAAAAAAAAGGAACACGTGATTGGCGTGTAATTTGCATTCGTTTCAAGAAGAGGATTTCAAAGCCCACCATGTCACCCACCTCTATGTATCGGTTCCCCATGTGATGCTTGTGCCTTTGTAGTGCTAGATCTCTGTGCTCTTCGTTCACGAACCTCACAAGAGCCTCCCCATTCCTCCTACCTTGGGCATTGAGACAGAGCGCAGCACCTCCTCTGCAAGATTTAAATCAAGAGATGAAACTCCATGACCTATGCAGCTGAAGAGCCACAAAGGTACAAGTAAATTCTTTACTACTCACTTGGCAATATTTAGACCTTTGAAGAACCTTGCTATGTCCTGGTCAGATGACTGCCATGGCAATCCTCTTGCTCGGATAACAGCATTGTCATCCACAAGTTCCATCTTGCTGCTGCAGGCACAGAAAGAAGTGGTAATGCAGAGACATCTGCCATACACCAACCTGTCTGCTTGTCATTTATACTCCAGGAACAGGCTTCTGTCCCTGCTCCATGTCTGCTGGATAGCAATGCCAAGGCAGTGAGGCCCAAGTGCCACCAACAATTGAAAGCCACTGTACAAGTCTCTCCAAGGGACTGTTTGCTTTGTTAAGTTGCCCCTTTCCAAGTTCGCCTTTCATGCTTTACCACATTTACTCTTTGAGCTGTCATCTCTTCAGTCATATTCCCAGTTAATTTCCCTTTCCTGACATCATTTGCGCTTCTCCATTATCTGAAGAGGGTTACTGGTATAAAAATCAAGTACCTGCAGTTCCAATCTAGCTAGGTAGACATTGAAGCAGAACAATTAGATATAACAGACATTAGTGCTTATTATTTCTACTGTGACAGTGTATTGGAACCAGTCACAAGCCAAGACCAAATCTGTTCAGGGCTGTACACAGCACACAGAGGACTCTGGCCTGAAGAGTCAAGGGGCCATCACTGTGCTATTAGAGACTAACATAGCTAAAGGCTACATTGGCTGCTTAGCATGGGAATAGCTTAGCCACAGAAAGCCAGGTTTAATTGGTCATTACTACAGTCCCTTTTGTTCCCCTATTTCTTGAAAGTGTCAAGTTCAACAAAACCTCACAGCTACCCAAGCCTGCCTTTCTGGTTATCACAGGAACAGCTTTTTTGCACGAAAGAGCTTAAGTGATTGATTAAGTAGATGAAGTGTTGTTCAGTAGTAGAGGACTCTCACATACAAAAGGGCTGTGGTATGCCTGGTGGGTCATGTTTCTCACTCACATTTTAATTTCTCAGGTGGTCTTTCTGTAGATGTCTGTCTCAAACTGTTCCCCTTTGCCTCCAAGTTCTGTACTTCTCATTATCTCAAATAAAATGTGAACCTTCCACTTCATCCCAGAATTTTGTTAGTGAAAAGGGAAAAGCTTATAACAAGGCTGAACATAGCCTCTGAGCTAATCTCTCTGGATACTGTCTACCAATGTTGCATTTTTCTTACTTTTCACTCAAAAGTATAAGCATCATCTACTGTTATGACAGATCCCTAATCTGAAAGAGGGAAGTGTTTGTGTAAGATGGGAGTATAAATAAGGTCAGTTTAACACAAGTATCTTGTGATATTGCAGAGAAATCATTGAGAAAACCACTGAGAAAAATCTGTATTTACACACAGAAAAAAGGCAGTTATACAAAAAAAAAAAGCCCGTAATCAACTATCCAAGCAACAAAGCAGGCAACAAAAGCAGATAAAGCTTTATGTTTAAAACATATTTGGGAATAAGAATCACCATAGATTAAACAACTGAGTGGTAGCACAGTACTCCTGGCACGATATCTTTATGAAAGTGTTTCTTCCCTATTAAAAAAATTCTGTATATGCAGTACCTGTGTAGTAAATTGCAGGAAGAGTGCAATAGCTAGTAACTAATAGGGTTATTTCTGAAACACTGCTTATTCTTTGTTAATAGCACAACACACTTAGTACCCATTATAAGCACTTATTAGCAGAACACAGAACTCTCCGCAGCTAAAAGGCAACACTGAAGCCTAACAAGAAAACAGGTTTGCATCTGATCATAGATTGCCTGTTCCCTTTCCCACTTGAAGGATCTAATCAATTCCCCTAGCAGTGGGAAGGTAAATAAATATAATGGTAACAGCTATCAGCAAATTAGGAAGAGAGAAGTACAGCTGATCTAAACAGTAACCTTAAAAAAGTGGTGGGGGTTGAAACATGTGCAACAAGAAGAGGGAGGAAGTACTTACCAAGGCCCACTTTCAAATTTGTAGTTCACCCTTTCTGGATCTGAAAATCTGTGATCTATGAAACAGAGCACAAGTTATTTCCCATTTTGTCAATGTACCGGACAGGCAGCAAAACCAAAGAAGGAACAAAGAAAACTCATTCATCATAATCACTTACTGTATGGTTCAGATATTAATGTTAAAATAATATTCCCCATATCTTCAACTTGAGAGGCTCCATAGGGAAATGCTGGACTGCTCTTGTCAAGATTTAAATCTTTTTGCTGGAGTTAAGTCAATCATCACCAAACAGATTTCTAATTGGTTTCCTGCTACAGCAACACTTCCATGTTGTCCTTGTATGTTGCTTCTCAGGGGAAGATTTAATCCATCTTCCTGCTGGGATACATTAGCTGCTCTGCCTTGGCCTCTAGTTACTGCCACCTGTGGGAGTGCAAGGTCACTAGAGAAAGCGTCTGGGGACAGGAGACCCCATAATAAGGACATGTATTTAAAATGTATGTTTGACAGATACACTGATGCATGTGGAAGAGACTGGAGCCCTGTGCTCTTTAATTAACATCCTCTTTAATCTTCAGGGGAAGATTTGGGGCAGGAGAAGAAGCAAACAATCAACTAAAAGCTCCAGAAATGGAGGATATACCATGTACTTTTTGACCAGGTAAATCCCAAAGCAGAGCAAGTATCTCACCACTTCAACAAAATTCATAAGTGACACCTTGTCTAAACCTTGCCTAGAAGTTATAACCCAAGTTTTGTGCTGTTGCACAGAAGCATTTTGACAATCTGGTTAGAGTCACCAGTCATGTGTTTTGTCAAGAGGTAAAACAGAGCCCCACAACCCATAGCTTCAGTCCAAAGGATTTTGGAAATGACTGCAGGAAGCATCCTGTCCCAGAAAGGCCTTAGAAAGACTATTTTTTTTCCAGACAACTGTAAACAGTTTACTATGGTATCTCCTGTTTTCCATTATATTTGCTCTCCAACACCAAGCTACAGGACTGCAAGATTATTTGCAATTCTACTCCATTATTCATTAAGCAAATTTTTAAAAAGGTCTTTTTCACTCTTTTTCTTTGAGGACTGAAGGGTAAAAAATGTAATCAAGAACAGAACAAAAATAAGGAAATCTGGGAATAAGTGTTTCACTTTTTACTCCCTTTATCAGTTTGCATCAAGACTTCAGAACAAAAATGAGAGTTTCTTAAACAAGACCCATCCTGACATGGAGGTACAATAATGCAACACACTGAAAACAGCCAAGGGCACCAATTACTTGTCCACATGCCCCCCAGACTACATTAAACACATTTCAAATGCTCCAGAGCCCTCATTATGACGTCCAAAGGTTGCTACACGGTCCAAGATAGCATTCCTATTTAAAGAGGAAACCTGCTTTCTCTACCTAGAGCTGAGCAACATTTGAGTTGTCAGATGCCTACATGAAGTGCAGGGAACAGAACAGCTTCTGTTGGAAACAAACACCCCATATCAGCTTTGTTGTATCATCTCATCAACAGGTGAGCCAGCACAAATTTCTTTGTGGGATAAGGTCTTCCCTATTATTCATAGGATGACAGCAAGACATCCTACAGAAACAGATTTTTAAAAAACTGTTTAACAGTTGTCTTGTTGCAAGTGAAAAATAACTTGAACTGAATTAACGCATTCCTCTTACACAGCAAGGAAGGGAAAGCTGTTGTGCCAACAAAATACACTTCAGGCTAACTTGATTTTGAAGCTTTGCTGGTTTTTAAGTGTCCATTGGAGTATGGAATGTGAGAGGATGATGCTTAGTCTTAGAAGAACACTTGAAGCTTTAGTGAATTATCTTAGTTTAAAAACCAGAATACTTAAACCAGTGATTCCTCCCCTCCAACTGCTGGACTATAAATAGTTTCCTAGTTATTGCCTTTACCCTCCCCCTTCTAGTACCTTCTTTGAGGTAAAGTACTAAGGAACATCAAATAGTTTTCTTAAAAACCAAGCCAAAAAGCCTGAGCAACTCCAAAGCGTGGTTTAAGAGATTACGACTATTTATGACAACAAAAAATTTCTTAATCACAGTCTCTCTTCCTAAGCTTTAAACAAGCTCAAGCTCACTACCTCCTCTGTCCCCAGAAAGGGGGGGTTGGAAAGAAAAATAACCCACAGATTGACAGGGAAGGTGCCTAAGCAGCACCACACAGATGTTTCTGGGCACCTTGTATATCAGAGCAGAGTAGTGCTCCTCCTCCCTTTCCTGACACTGTTCCCGCTGTAGCACCTAACAGCTCCACACTGGGCTTGTGCAGAGCCTCTGCTGTTCACAGAGGCAACCAGAAGCTGCTGATGGTGCAGGTGTTGGAACCCCAGTCTTGCCTGACCAAGTTTTATGAAGAATTTGGAAAAGTGTTTCCTCTGTCAAAAGTCAAGAGACATGGGGCAGGAGTTTCAATAATTATTCCAGCAGGGGACATGCATACACATGTGCTTGGCTGTGAGACTGTGCTGTCAAAACTGAAAAGGCATTTCAATATTTCCTTTGTGCTGAGCCAAAGATCCCTACAAGTGATCAGCATTTAGAGAGGGGAATGAGCAATGTGAGAGGGGCAGGAATTTGAAGAGAAGCCATCATACAAGGAAAAAAACAAGGACCCAACCCCATAATATTCTTCAGTGAAACTGTTTTCTGAAAACACTAGTCCACAGGAGAAGCAGTTCCTGAAAATGCTCTAGTGCCAACAAAAGCTGGTAGCAGTTGTCAGACACAGGGAGTCAGTTGTGCCAAACTCTAGAGAAACATAAACACAGTGGAGAGGAGGAAGTAAGTAATCAACATTATGGCAGGCATAACCTCACACCTTCACCTCTGATTTGTTAGAAGCACAGCTTTTAGGCAAGACTGGAGAAGAAAATTGATCATTTTCTGCATGTTTAAAGAACATGTTAAGTAAAAATCTGTATTCTAATGAACAAGATTGACTACACAGAGGTAGACATCTATAGACAGAGACACTAGAAATTATGGTACTTGGGAAAAAATAGAAATTAAATAGTCTATAAAGCCTATTCCTTGTTCTGTGAAGGGATAGGAGACCAGCTATATGTTTCTGTACATTTATATTTAAGGGATGGTTCTCCTGGGCAATTGGAGAAAGACAATTACAGGGGATAATCCAAAGTTCACATTTAAAGAAGTGTTAGAAATCAGACATGGCCATCCAGAGCTAATATATGCAGTAGCATCTACATGTATATTCTTAACGAAGCAACAAGCTAAAGACAGTCCCAAATAAGGAAGGATGGGAAACAAGGAACTACTTAATCCTGGGGTGCAGCTGTGGTACCACCTTCTGCAACACTCAGCAAGTTAAAGGGAAGAGGAAGGAAAGGTATATTCTATATTAGGGTAGCCTCTCTAACATGGAAGAAACTTTTAAATTATTTCCTCAGGTGTAGCAGCACAGTTTCATTCACTGCCAGTGTCCTCCAAGATTTATTCCTTCTCACTGTCTCTTAACTCCTTTCTCATTGAATCACTAACTTAACCTGGGATGACATGAAACAGCACTGCAATTGTGCTCTGCACTGATCCTTTGCCCTTTGTTCTGTTTCTTATTTAAGTCCCTTTAGACAGAAGATTACATCTTTCTACATAATGCTTTGCATAAAGGTAATGTAATATAATATTAGCCAGTTCCTGAGTAACATTACAGGAAATACAAATAGCAATATCCAAGATTCTCACCTAATACCCAATTATGGGCATTTTATTGCCAGAGTTAAGCACTATTGGTTATAATTGTGCTCCATATTATTGTTTCCAAGACACCCAGGTAAAAACATGAAAACAAACCAAACAGTAAAACCCTAACAAATCAAGTTTCAGTACTACAATATCCAGCACATTAAACAAGCTGTTCTGGAGTGCCCCTGAGTTTCTACTGACAACACTGGCAGATACTCCTAGTAAGAAATTATCCTCACACATCCAGTTCAGAAGTGAATGGAGCAAACCAAGTACGGGAGGAAGCAAGTGCTATTTGCCATTTAATAGCTTCTGCACACCCAATCTCGAGGCAAAGGATGAGTCTTCTGCAAACCTAATAGGAATAGTCATGCAAGCTTTATTCACTCCACCCTGAAGGCACTCACAGGCTGAAAACTGGCTCAGCAAGCTTTGCAAATCAAGAAGTGTAGCAAGTATGGGAGGTACAGAGGGTGCAAGAACAACCCTCCTCCTTTGTATGCTCACAGATAAAAAAAAAAAGTCGACAGACCTAAGTCCTTTTCTCTGCTGGAACATGATCACTTCCCTCAAGTTTTGTTACTCAAAATTTCTCATAATTGTCCTGCTGTCATTACACTTACACAATTCTGACAAAGTCTGCCAGAAAGCTGTCTCATACACAAGAACTGTTTTGACACTATGAGTTAGGCAGCAGTAGTACTCAGAGATAATTACAACTAGTCTCAGTTCTGCCTTCGTTCCTTGAATATCATAGCATTTGAAACGTTGCTTTACTTTTATCTAAAAGAAATGAGTTGCTGTTTGTTGTGAAATGCACAACTTCTTGCAGGGATTGGGAGTAAAGATTTGTAAAGCTTCCACCTGAGTTCTTAAGTTTGGCATGGTTTCATTGCTGTACACAAATTTCAAGTAGTCTCCTGAGAGAGTAAGTCCACAAAGTACTTTCTAAAGGAAGAAAAACCCAGCCAGTTATTCAGTCTATTATCTCTTTTACAAGATTGTGCTTGCCTTGTCTGCAAGAAATACATAGCCAAGCACCTACAATCCAGTGTACTGTACACTGAAATATGTATCTGGAATTGACTGTGCTGTAGGAAGTTATCTCCCCTGACAGCTGGGAACAGCTGTGTACATTTCTCATTTGCCTGTAATTTGTTATTTGATCAAAAGTGACCCATCAAAACAAAAGCTTTTGAAGAATTTAATAACTTCAATGACTGTAGATTAATACCCAACTTTCTGCTAACTATTTTATAGAGTAAAAGTTTCCTCTTACTGATCACAACCAGGCTACACACATATGAATGGAGATGTAAGCATATGAAGGGATGTGCCCAAAAATCCTTCTACTCATGCTTCTACCAGTCTGTAAATGCAAGTCTCAAATATCTAGTCAGCCCCATACTAAAACCTTCCATCCTCACCAAATGCTAATGTATCTGGCACACTATAGTCTCTGTGGCAGAAATCATGGAAGGGTCATACACCCTCTTTACCTGTGAGGCCAAGAAGTTGCACTTTCTACCAGAATAAAAAGAGCTTGATCAGATTCTATGAGCTAATCTGCAGCTTCATTTCAACCTACTGTACTTATTTCTGATTTGTTTTTGTGTCCACACCCCAGCATATCCATACATGAAGAAAGAAGAACTAAACAACTCCGCATACAATTTATGGAATTAGTCTTTAGACTCCACATCTGCTTAAACAATCTTTTTATCCTAAACATCACATACACGTCCCTGGTCTACAAGGGCAATTAACCTGTGCAGCTTCTGACACTGAGGAGATCAAGTTGATACATTTCAGCAAGATGAGGAGAAAGAAAATTATCATATTTGGCAATAAAAGAAGAACAAAAATTGCTTTACCCTTTTTGGTCTCTGCACTCTCTGCTACCACACTCATACAGTTAATAGGGGAGAGACAATTGATTTTAGCCATCTTGCATAAACATAGCAAGTTGACAAATAAGAGCCTCAGCAGTCACAAAACAAAATAAGACACAAAAATAAGTGCAAGACCAGAATGAAGTTAGGTTAATATACCTTAAGAAGCATATCTTATCCAGAACTGAGACTCAAGCTGAGTGGATTTGGATAGACTGACTAAGCTTCTAGGAACTTGGAAAAAATATTATTGGCAATTGCCAAAACTACTCTCAGGCAGCACTAACTCTAACTCCTGACAGTCACCTGACTGGGTGGTAACACAGGGTGGTCTGCCCCCCTCTCCCAGCAGGCAGGGAATACACAGTCCATCACCATGCCCTAGCTGACCAGTGACACTCCAGGTAGCTACAGTCATACAATTCCTTCCACAGTGGAAATGCATACCCCAGACATTCACATAAGGAGAAAACAAGGGCAACTCTCTGAAACAGCTAAAGTACCTCATTGTCTTTAATTTCTTCAGATTGTGTCAAAACATTCCCTAAACAATGTATTAAGTTTTTGACCACAACTTTAAGAAGTCTCCATCATCCAGTTTCAATGCACCACAGCATTTATGTCACTTTTCTACATAAAGATTCAGATCCATTCACACTCTAAATGTACTGCTTTCCTTCAGAATATGGGGAGAAATAATTTTTGCCCCTTCATTAGCCAAGATTAATCTTAATTTGCAGACAACAAAGCAGAGCAGAATGGTTAAACACAAAAATCCACCCCATATGTGTATTTTATGCCCCCAACAGGTACAAAGCCCAGGCAATACTAGTTCTGCAGTGAAAGCCCAAAAATTTCTGAAGCCACAGACATCACCTCTTAATGGCAACCACTCCAGGGACACAAAAAGCAAGTCAGAAGAAAAGTTATTAAAAACAATAGCAGCAGCACCAACCACCAATACCAAAAATAAACATCTCAAATTCCTTTATTCCGCCTTGATACCTGACTTTTGTGACCACTACTCCAATAGCTCAGTAGCTCTGTGGTGAGAAATATTTTTGGGATAAGGACTGAAGCTTGCAGCAAAAGGGGAGACTGCCAGGGAAGAAGGCAGAGCCAAATCACAGCTTCAGTTCTCAAGTTCAGACGAGGGAAGAGACAGGATGGGGTTACAGACCCCTTCAGACTATTCACAAAGTAGTTTTAGACATCCCTATCACTGAAAATGGAAACATACTACTGACTGCATCTTGGTGCCAGCCAAGCCTCACCCTGTGAGGTGTAGCATGTGCGCCTTCTCTGAGACTGAATACCACATGTTGCAACAGCATTCCTGTGTTAGAGATTCACTACTAGGTCACACCAAGAATAACCATCTCCTCTCCTGAAAACTAGGGTAGTCTCCCAACATTTGCTCTTGCCTAAAATAAAATAAAAATCTAACTGATGCTATAAAACGCAACCCCCAAACTTAATATTACAATTCCAACAGCAATTTGAAAAAAAAAAGTGCTGCTGCACCATCACTGTGACATTTAAAGAGACAAATATCAAGATGGTAAAGAAAACACACATAAGTCAAGAAGAAATACAGGATTTTCTCCATGGAAGCATTCATCCTCTTATGCTTTTATCTTTATCTTTGTGAGAAAACTAAGTACAGCTCCGAGTCACTCATTAAAGTTATACCACCCCTAAACATGTGTTGCAAGCATTACTCATACACCTCTGTCCTAAAATTCAGCCAAGACTGTAACAGCAGCAGAGACACCATCACTGTTAAAAGGATACATTCTGTCATGGCTGCAACATCGAGTTTGCTAACTTCAGGTGAGCCAGGGCAACACTTCTTGAACTCTTTCCGCAAGTCAAAAAAGGAGTAGAAGCATTCAGGCAGTGAAATATTCTGTAAAATGAATAAAGTAACCACTGTCAATTAGGGTGAGTTTAACCTACTTTGTGTATAGATACCAAACTTTCTAATAATAGCTTTAGAATAGATAGGAAACACAAACAATCTCTTTGCTACAGATTGCTCTTCATAGCTCTTCTTAGCCAGGTAAGTATGTTCATAAAACATTTTTCTTAAACAGCTTTCTCTTTATATTGTTTAATAAGAGAAGTGTGCTTTTGCACTGCCAGAAAAATATTTGCCATCATTACTAGAGCTTCAAATCCAACATATATGTAGCAGAGAAAATGCTTCCTATTGCAAGATTTATCATCAATTCTTGATTGCAAATTTAACTATATAAAGCCAGAGGTTAGTCAGTTCAGTCTGTAGAACTAAGCAAATTTCACAAGACTAGCAGATATTTTAGTTTATAGAAAAGGCTCTTTTTAGAGAATAGTCACACTTCAAATATTTATTTCCAAGAAATAAAAAATCTGACTGTGCAGAAGAGGGTTTGACATGGTGCAGAAGTTGTCAGCCCATGCATGGTAACTGCTTTAACTGCAGCATACAAGGCCAGAAGCAAGTTATGCAGCCCACTAGAAGTTAATGAAACCCTTCTTGCCCACCACTACATCTACCACATGCTTCTAATTTTTTTGGGAGTGGAAAGGAGAAGACATGGAGAAGTCTTGGGGGCAGCTGTTACAACCAATGCAAACCCTTATTCCTTCAGCTAGCTCTTCACCCCAGAATACCTACATATTCCTTTGGGCTGTTTGTTGCCTGCAAGGCCTTTCTAGACTACAGATAAAGGCTTTCTGGGATTTAACAACTAGTTAGCATGCTGGCATTATAACAGATAGCAGCCTATGTGAAAGCACATTTTGGGAGCCCAAAGAACACAGTTTAGGCTCTAAAACAAATTCTGCTTTGAGAACATTAGAGCTTATCTTAGCATATGGACAGGTGTATTAGGCAAACGATACTCTTTTAAGACTTATGAAAATGCAGATGGGCTTGCCAACATTTCCTGCTCTAGTTTTAAGCATGATTTTCTTCCTTGATGTGAAATGAAGTTCTGTACTTCATTTATGTTCTTTTGGAATGGCTGATGCCAATTCATTCTCTGAATACCAGGAGTTGCTAGATGGCTTCAGAATGGATATCTTAGAAATAAATATCTTAAGAGCCTCGAGATTTCTGCCTATCTGGATCTTAGTGATCCCACACTCCAATCCCTGCATTAGGACATTCATCAAAAAACTATTACAAGTCTCATAAGCATCTGGTTTACTTAATCTACAGGCAGCACAAAGCAAATTACAAATGAACCATTCTTAACAAAAGAGCAACAGAAGATTTTGATAAAGATTTGATGCCTGTCTGTGACCCTGTTATGATACAGAAAAAGGATCCCTGTCATCAAACCAACTAAAATAACTGTAGAATGTGTCCCTTCTTTTGCTTACATAATTTAAATGGATAACAAGTTTCACTTTATTAGCCAAGAAGAAAGTCTCTTAAAAACCTGTTTCCACATTTTCTCATGTTTTATGTCATAGAAGGCAAGTTATATATATAAGAACTGTCCCTTCACTGTGAATAATGCTCACTGTTCCTCTTCTAAGCCTTCAAAGCTATCAATACTTAAAGCACAAACAAGTACTACAACCAAGCTCATTCAGGATCACTTCTGTAACAGCACAGACCTGCAGCAGTGTCCCTTCAAAGATGGGACAGCAAATTGATGGGCACAGAAGTCAAGTACAATGAGAGGAGCAGAACAGCTCAGTTACAGAGCAATGCATGTTCATACCAAACCACAAAATGAGGTATTATTAATATTGAGGCAGTTATTTCAGAACCAGAGAGACTCACATATTGCTGCAACCCTATCACTAACAAAAAGCAGTCAGGACTCCATAACACTGTTAGTGATTTGGCAACTCTGAAGTTATGTAAAACTCCAGACTACAGCACAATCATCACTCATAGCCTACCTCACTCTACTGTTCAGCTCCTTACAAATATGAACACTGCCCTTGGAGTGTCAACTCAATACCCAAAGATTGAAAGTTGATATAACTAGGCATGAATGTAAAACTTCAAAAAACAGTTTATGGTTAAGATGGTTAATTATTTAGCAACAATCCCACATCCCACCTATTAACCCTGTAGAAGCTACAAGTATATTGTATATATATAGATCCAATATGTTCCTCCTTTCTCAAGAGCCTCTTCCTTCTGATTTAACTTAAAAAGGCATCTCAAGACCATGTAAGGACAGGGCACTGTATATGCCTTCCACACAGACAGGCTCTTTAGCCTCTAAGCACATTACATATGAGCAATGTTTGTGCTGCAGTTGTGTGGAGGTACCCTCATACTAGAGAGAAGTTGATTTGTTTTGCAAGAAATCATAAAAAGCACATTAAGAGTAAAACTTAAGCTACAACTACATACCTTTTTGGAAGCTTCAGGGTGTAGAACCTGCCTAATGTGCAACTGTCCATCAGTACAGAAACAGAAAGAAGTACCTACACCAATGTTCAGTTCATTGCTCACGGACTGATTAAACTGTTGGCAGGAACAAGAAAAGACATACATGTTACAGAGATCAGAGTGGCACCACTAGGCAGTGTCATCAGTTGGTAACATGTTATTCCTGGGCAGCAGGAACACAGAGCTGGAATTCTTTTTCATATAAGCCTATTCCTTCACTTCTGTAGATTTGTTTCTTACTAGCTAAGCACATGCTAACTTCCATGATAAATCTCTTCACAAGGAAACTACCCCTTTCCCCCCTTCTAATGAGATATCTCTACACAGCCCACACCACAGAATAAAATCCTTTTCAAGATTTGCAAGAGCATTGCAATGAGACAAAGCTGATTGCAAAGACCTGAGGCAGTACTGGGGCAGAAGAGCTTTTTAGACAGGGCACTCAAGCATGTCAGAAAGAAGACAGGCTTTCAGCCCTACCCTCAATGGGAATCACACACACTTCCTTGTTAAGCTAGAGGCTTCAGCACCATCATCTTCCCAGGACTGAGGAGCACAAGCCTTAACAGGGGACACCTAAAGCTGGCTTCTTCCAACACTGATGAGGGCTCACCCTCAGCTGAAACTCACTCAGGGTCCAGCATGGCAGGAGAGTGGGGTAGGGAAATAGCTAACCCTAACCTTCCTCTCTTGGGGTTCAGTTCTTCCCAAGGCAAATAAAGAGAAGGCAAGGGAGAAAGCCTGTAAGTGTAGGTCTTTGTGGGCCTTTCTGGCCCACACGTGTTTGTGTTGCTCCCGTACCAGGCTCCTCTGCTCTGATGGTGGGGATAAGCAGATGATGATACCACCTCCACCCCACGGGGGAGCTCCCAAAGGAGACCGGCACTTAGCGGCCAGGTATGGGGTGTCACCTGTCTCAGTGCCTGCTCCAGCGGTGGAGCCAGTGCCAGGCTCTCCACATCCACTTGGGTGATCTCCTGGCACTCAGCCGTCAGTTCTGTGTGGTCAGGCCGGACCAGCACGTCATGCAGGTGCCCCAGCTCCAGAGAAAGCAGAGGAGGGGGTGAGTCAGCTCTCCGGGCTGAAAGTCCCCACCTGCAGCACCAGCCCCTACCCTCCACCAGAGCCTGCTCCAGCCTGGGACACCCACTACCAGCCCAGCGCCGAGACCACCCTGCCTGCATCCAGCATGGCAGGCGCCAAGGGGAGCAGCAGGTCGGGGTGCTCCCCCATCGGGTGAAAATACCTCCTTACTCCTCAGGTCGACCACTTTCCACAGGAGTTGGAGCAGCTCTCGTTCGTCCGAGCCCAACCTTGCCCCGTTGGTGCCCGCCGTGGTCACGAAGAGAATCACCAGGTAGTCGGGAGACGCCGTCATCGTGCCACCGGGCCAGCAGAGAGGATAAAAAGAAGGAAAGGGAGAAGAGGGGAAAGAGAAGAAGCCGGAAACTTTCCTTGCCCCAGGCGCTTCCAAGCAAGACCCAAGCGGCAGAACCCCCAGCTGCAGCCTCACTCCCCAGGGACTTGGCGTGGGGGAGGCGCACGGCTCCCCCTCTTTCCCACCCCCTTTTCCCCGAGGTGGGTGTAGCCGCTCCCACACTGACTGCACTCCTGGGGAAGGCGCAATGGCTGCGAGCTTTTCTGCGCGGGGCCGCGGCAGCACCTGCCCGCCCCCGGCCCACGTGGTGCAGGTAACACACACCTGGCGCCGCCGCCCATTGGCCCCGCCGGGCGGGGACGTGGCAGCGCGCCGGGGGCCGCGGCCGGAGTGCGGGGCTGGGATTGCGGGGCTGGGATTGCGGGGCTGGGATTGCGGGCGGGACGCCCGGCGCGGACCGGGATTGCGGAGATGTTGCGGGGTCGCGGCTGTGGAGGAGCAGCCCCGGGCCCCTGAGGAGCCTCAGCGTGCCCGGACCCTGGCGAGCCGCGCCTTCCGCCGGCGAGGAGCGCTGCACCGGGATGGTGCAACTCCTGAGCGACGGGGCGGGATCGCCCGGTCCTGCCGGGACATGCCGCAGAGGGCACTTCTGCTCCTGCCCTGCTCCGGCAGCTCCGTCCCCCGGACGGAAGGGTAGGGGAGATGGCCACGCCGCTGGTACAGCCCCGGCGGGTCCCCCGCCTTTGGTCGGGGCCCGGAGGGGCCGGTGTGGTGCCAGGGAGCGCTGTGTCGGCGTGCGGGCCGGCTGACCCCCGAGCGGCTCCGAGAGAGACCAGGGGCTCAGGGCGGTAAAGCCTTTTCCTCTGCCGTCCTTAAGGCAACGGCATCGCAGCTTCTCACCGTTCTGGCACGGCGGATCAAGTCGTGTGTTAAGAGCTGGCTGGTTTGGCTGTCGCAGCCTTCCCTTGATGAGCTGGTGATTTTGGCTCTTTTGACAATCTCTCTTGTCTTATGGTAAAATCTCTATTTTAAAATCTCCTTTTTAAATGCACCATTCTCCAACACAAATTTTTTTCATGACAAATCACAGAACACAGAGTAAACAGCACTAACTTTCTGCAGGGGAATCCTGTAATATACTTAATTATTTAGGACCTCAGTTGTTCATTTCCAACTTCATTGAGATGCTGCTTCTTGAAGTTTTTACTGAGATCACAGACTCATGGAATATACTGAGTTAGAGGGTGATGCTGATTAGGTTTTGCCTTTTTTTTTCTTTTATATGTTCTCTGTGCTCTTCACACATATATTTGTAACTCTGTCACCTATTGAATTAGTAGCTAGTTTTCCCAGTACTTTTCCATGGCCTTTCCCTAAGCAGAAAGACAAAACAAACTCCAGAGCTCTAAGCCCCGGGGGGTACAAGGCCCCAGCGGTTCTGGTTCTTGGTTCTTCCTGGGAGCCAAGGCTGAGAATGACTCTTGGAGATACATTCTCATGGACAAAGTACAGCCAGTGCTGAAGGGGGGGCTCCAGAGGAGGGGCTTGACTTGGGGGGGAATTGAATCACCACTTGTCCTTCTAATGAGTGCTTTTAATCAATTTTGCTAATTTCCTAAAACCTATAGAAATGTACTCACCCCTGGAGGGGGTAGGTTTTTGTGGAAGTTTTCCATAACTGCCCCTGAAGGCCTTCATTAAAGATCCTCTTTTATATTGCCTCCTTACTAAAATTATCTTGAGTTTCATTTCCAGGTTGGGAAATAGGCAACAAGGGGACCCATCAGGATCATTGAGTACAACTCCTGGCCCTGTGCAGGAAACCCCAAGAATCACACCATGTGCCTGAAAGTGTTGTCCAAATGCTTCTTGAACTAATGAAGGCTTGGTACTGTGACCACTTCCCTGGGGATCCTGTTCCAGTGCCCAGGAACCCTCTGGGTGAAAAGCCTTTTCTTGATATCTAGCATAGACTTCTCCTGACTCAGCTTCATGCTGTTTCCTCAAGTTCTTGTCACTGTCACAAGAATGAAGAGATATGTACTTGCTCCTTGTGAGGATGTTGAGGACAGTCTCAGGACACAAGTTGAGGTCTTGCCTCAGTCTCTTCCTTTCTTTTCAGCTGCTCCTAATAAAGTTTCCCCTCAAGGCCTTTCACTATTCTGATGGCCCTCCTTTGGACACTCTCTAAGAGGTTTACATCTTTCTTATATTACAGTGATCAAAATGTCACACAATACTGGAGGTGAGGCTGCCTCAGAGCAGAGCAGGACAATCCCCTCCCTTGCCCTGCTGGCAATGCTGTCCCTGGTGCCCCCTAGGACAGGGTTGGCCCTCCTGGCTGCCAGGGCACTGCTGACTCACATTCAACTTTCCACTGACCAGGACCCCCAGGTCCTTTCTGTGGAGCTGCTCTCCAGCCTCTCGTTCCCCAGGCTGTCCGTACATCCAGGATTGCCCCATCCCAGGTGCAGAATCTGGCACTAACCTTTGTTAAACTTCATACAGTTAATGATTGCCCATCTCTCCTAATTTTTCAACATCCCTCAGCAGGGCCTCTATGCCCTCAAAGGAGTTGACAGCTCCTCCCAATTTGGTGTTGTCGGCATATTTACTTAGTATGTCTTTGAGTCCCACGTCCAAGTCTTTAATGAAGACATTGAAAATAACTGGGCCAAGGATGGAGCCTTGTGGAACCCCACTAGTGACAGGTTGCCAGCCTGATGTCACCCCATTCACTATAACTCTTTGCATATGACCTGTGAGCCAGCAGCTCACCCATCATGTCAGCTCATTGTTCAGCTGTGTGCTGGACATTTCAATGAAGGTGTGCCTTGTGTGTTTCTTCATCACTATTCCTTGTACTGCTGCAGGTTCACAGCTTGCACCACCTTTTATTAGCACAAACACATTTGTTTGTCGGGAAGGGAGCAGATGTGTTTCACCACTGCTGGGGATCCTGTCAGCCACTGACTTGTCCCCATAGTGCCTGGCATCCTCTTCCTGCCCTGCTGTGGTTTGCTGCAGCCTGGTTCTCCTTGTGGTGGCTGCTACCAAATTCCAGCATGACACATGATGGCTAGAGTAATTTTCACTCTCTCTGGTCCAAGATTTCAAAATTGACATTCACTGGTAGCAGAGACTGCAATTTAAGGGCTTAAAATGTCAAATTAATCCCTGCAGTTTTTTAAAGCAGTAGCTGAAATTTTCCATGTGAATCCAGTATCAGGAAACAACTAAGATAATTGTACCCTATTTGTCCGAGGTTTAAAGCACCTGGTTTTCTTTGTGCATTTGTCTTCTCACTTTTGATCCACAGAGTAAAACATTTGTGAAGTGAAGGTCTGGGGTGTTTGTCCTCAGTAGTGGCTGCAGGTGATCTGTACTCAGCATCTGAGGAGTGATGTTGGTCCTCACACAGGGAGTTTGCTTTGTGATCTCTGCTTAGGCTGGAGCAGCAGGATTCAATGGCATAGGATTTCTTTGTGCAGTTTCCCTTTCAGGTCTTAGTTTACTGCAACTTCTTAGAAAAACATTTATACTTTAGTACAAAAATCCAGCACGTTTCTGAAATTACTTCACAGTGGAGCATGCCAGACAGAGAGTTCTGGCTTGGCTGGCTGCTTGTCTTTCAGTGAAACTTAATCATGTTTCCTCGGCAGTTTCTTTCTCAATGCCAGCTTGGCTTTTGCGATGCAGCCCTTGTCTTTGTGAGAATGATTTTTGGATGGGCACCTGTTCCTTTATTCTACTGATTTGTTGTGTTCTGGCTTATGCACTTTTTTTTCTTTTCTTCTGCCTTATTGTTTCATCCTGTGTCTCTGTCCACTTAGGAGCATGAGAGTTCCCAAATTATTGCTGCAGCAGGCTGCATTATGTACAGTAACTCCTTTTAAAAGTGAAACCATACCCTGAAAGTATTTTAAATTCTCATTATGTATTTTGGGTTACTGGCTAACCGTTGTTTCATTTATTGATTTGTTTAAGAAGCTGCTTTTGCAATTGCTACTGTAGGGCCATTACCTTTTATTTTTCTCTTTCTTGGCTAATACATGCCCTAAAACACCTGTTTTCCAGTCACAGTTCCCATTCCACCCTCTTTCTTGCATGCTTGCAGCATCTGGTCCAACAACATGCACCAGTTGATCAGGTTCCTGTGTTGTGTTGCCCAGGCTCTTGGCATTTGTGTATTCCCATTCCAGTTGCTTGTCCCAGGCCATTCCATTGTCCTGGGACAGGTTAAGCATAGTCTTTGCATGAAATGTCACCTTCCAGATGACATGGGTGTTGTTATCTACAGGAAGGTACTGGCCTGCTTTGAAGCAAGTCGATCTCTCAGGGCTTCTCCCAGCACGCTGTTGCTGTACTCATCTCCTCTCTGGCAGTCCTTTTGTTTCCTGCCTGCTGTCTGTCTGCCCAGCCCTTTTGCCAATTTCAATGGAACTGTTTTTTTCTGTCATTTTTGTATTAGTTCCGGTGATTTCCCACCATGTGTTCTTTTGTTCCAGTTACTGTAACAGGACAGTTCTGAAACAACTCACACTCTTCTTCTTGCCAAGGAGCTCACACCTCCCGCCCCCAACACTGCAAGAGACTCATGTGTCCTCTTATTTATTTCCTCCATTTTCCTGAAGCTTCCTTCTTTCACCCATTGATCCCCTTCCTAACAAACAAACAACCTGTGACTTTGCACTTCTCCATATGTCCAGATTTTTTCTGCCAGTTCTGCATCTCCCGCCCTGCTCTATTCCTCTACAGGAGGGTCTTCACCCCAATACCACCTGCAACTGTTATCCTTTCCAGCACAGACCTTTGGCCTCTGACAAGTATCCCACCCATATCACTTTTCCCCAGTTTCCTTCCAGAATATCAACTTCTTACAACTGAAATTGGAGAATCAGCTCTGTCATTCTTTTTTGAATGTGTTAATGTTCACCACCATTTTTTTTAAATGTCTCTAAGATAACTGCTGTTCCTAACCGAATTCTGTTATCTCTACT